GGGGGGGGGGGGAAGCTTTTATTTTTTCTAAAGCAGGATATAAAAAAAGGCAAAATTTTTTTTGTCCTTCATTGGATATTTTCTACCACATATCACACAGGACAGTAGCACCTTCCTGGATTTTTCATGCTTGAGGTGCTCAAAATACTGGTACCTCACATGCCATAATAATGGCAGGCACAAAACCCTGATTAATCTTTTTAACGAATAAAATAATATTTAAATCACGTTTACAAGTTCATTTGCAATATCTGTGAAGTCATCTTTAGACATTCATTCCTTCAGCTGTGGATAGTATGGCAATTCCAACTGTAACTTTACTAGAGAGGCAAATCATCTGAGCTTTTCATACAGAACTCCTCAGAAGTATCTTAGAGGTTGTAGAGTGAATCTGTAACAAAAAAAAAAAAAAAAAGAAACACCAACAAACCTGGAACTTCATGAAAAATTTAGATCCGAGACAATATAACCAAATTTATCTTAGTCATCACGATTATATCTGGCCCTTGATTTTTTTCCAAGTACTTTGGAAGCGTCCTAAGTTTGGATTTTGGAAAAATCCCAAGAAGCTCAAACCCAAACAACACACAAGCTTATATTCACAATTTTTAGCAGTCTATTGTGTATCTATGTAGCTCATTAGGCAGCAGTGAAGAAGTCCTCTGTTTTGCCACTACTTTTTTCTCCATTTAACTTGATACAGAAGTCAGCAGCTTGTTTGTAGCATAGCATTTTTGGCAATAGGCTTTGAAACCTGAAAGTTTCTTCCCTACTTGAGATGTGACGAGAGTTTCACTGTCAGGAGAAGATGAAAATTCTGATTGCACTTCAAATTGTGAGATAAAAATGAATATTGCTAGTTCAAATTACTGCTGAAGAAAAGTTAAAATGAGCTATTGTGTCTCTCAGGATTCGTGGATAACCTGAAGACTTTGCTGCTACATCACGACAGTACTGTGCGACAAAAAACAACACAAGTGCTCTGTATAATGGCTATGCATAATGTTGGCAGGTAGGTGTAATTTCAGAGTTTACTGAACACTATGGGAGGAGATAAAGGCATTTCAGTGAGAAATAAGAACACAGCTTCCAAATCTTGGCAAGATAGGTGCAATGTAAATAAGACTATTTAGTTAAGATTAAAGGTCTCACATACATGAGAGTTTTATTCTGCTTAGTTAGGTCTGTCCTCCACTGTTGTTCACAGGCAAGCATTGATACAAAATGGAGTGATTTCTGCCCTCACTGAGCTCTTGGATGATCCAGTAGATACCTGTCGGAAGAACACGCATCAGATCCTGGAAATGACAGCAAAATTACCTGAAGGTAGGGATTTTGTCAGTAGTTAAGTATTCAAATAGGCAAGGCAGGCAGGTGAATTTATGTGATTCCCCATGTAATATCTTCCAGACTAATTTTATTCTATTTTCCTTGAAAACAGTTTCTATTTAAAAACAGTATCTTTTCTATTTTTGCTCATCTTAATTTTCCTTAGCTAGCTTTCCTATGAGAATTTATTGTTTGGGTTCTGTCAGAAAACTTTAAAAAGTATGACTGTCATCTTTTTTTTGGGGGGAGACAAATATATTTTCTAGAGCTGTTTTTGAACTTTAAAAAATTTGCAAATTGGGTAATAAGAGTATGAATACTTAGCCAAAAGGTAGAAAATGCTTTGCATAGATAACAAGTAGAATGCCCCATGTTAACATAATACACCAGAATACTCTTGTCTGTGTACTGGGGGAACTGATCCTACTAGAGCTGTTAATTTTCTTAGGTCCTATGCAAGTTAAGTCTACCTGCTCAAGATGCAGGCTGTGTGGACTGCATGCTTGAATTTGTATTTCAAAATCTTACATCAAAAACTCACTTTGTCCTTTTCTGTTTGAGATGATGATCAACTCTTCATCATGTTGCCCTGTTTTCACACCACACAGGAAAGTGGTGTGGAAAGTTTTTCTGGTGTTAGGAGGTATATGTTTTGTTAAATTTGCTCAATGCATTCCTCAGTCCTCACAAGCACTGGTGTAGGAGGCAGCGAAGGAGCAAGTAAGGGCACCATCCATTACACTGCATATTCCACAGATTATGGATTAATGTCTCTTTGACCTTAGACTCACAGGCACTGTTTCTTAAATGTATGCTTTGACATTACTTTCAGGTGGTGAAGTTAAAAAAACATACAAACCTAGGGGTGATGCAAGGAACAATGAAGTTTGTTTTTTCAGATATTTTATTCAAATATTGATTGACCTTAGGTAATATTGTTAAATGGACTTGGTAAGATACAAAGTTTAAAATGTGATGAATTACACCTAACTTTAGACATCAAATTGAGCTAGTCATCCTACACTCCCTATAGAGCAGAGGAGAAAAATCAGTATCTAAAAGAGGGAAAAAGTCTGACATATAAGTGCCTGGTTTAGGATGAGATGAGTTCTGCTCTGGTGATGCCCATTTGTGTCCACTAAGATAAAGTGGGTTGATTACATCATATTTAGCTTTTAAGTGCTTCAGTCTATACAGAGAAATCCAAGTTGAGATTTTGTCTTTGACTTGACAGAAGAATAAATTGTTGTACTTTCTGCATGCTTTCTTGGTGTTTATTACCAAGTTTTCTAAATCTTTTATACACTAAGGAAATTTAAGCTGGTTTGTTACTTTTATTTCTAGAGTCTATGATTATAATTTCAATAGTTTTCTAACCTGAACATTAGTATTAAACTTTTCCAAGTGATGAATATTGTAGTTTTAAAATTAATTGATAATGTCTACTGAAATTTTAAAGCCATACTATTTAAATTAATGGGAAACTATCTTTCTCTGATGAATTCTGTTACATTACTGATGTTTACAAAAGAATTAAATGAATGCTTAAAGACTTGCTGAGTGTACATGAATCCTATAAATATAAAGATATATTTTTTACATGCATGCAAGCCTTTTTAAAGTCCTAAATAATTGAGTCCATGTGAAGGGTATTAGTATGGTGGGCTAAACAACTATGTGAACAACACTAGAAAAACATGGATTTTCTTTTAATTTAATCTCACTAGCCATTTTACAGGAACTGCCTTGGGGTTTAGTGGCTGCTGTACATATCAATTTAGACATGAATTTCAGACTTACACAGGTAAACTACAACTAACGTTATATGTAAACACCTGTCTACTTTTAGGTTCTATCTCCCAAAACTCAGAGCATTTACTAAGTAGGTTGGAAGTTTAGCTGTGTAAGCAGAAAACATTCACTGGTGGATGAATACAAGTTCTAGGGAGAAGAAAAAAAAAAAAAAATTAAAAAAAAGCTATCCATGTGGCCCTGATAGGAAGTGAGGACTTTTTATTCCAGTGTTTGCAGTTAGACAGTGTCTAAAAAGCAGGGGCCAAAAATTAAGGGTTGTAAAGAAAGCTTTTTTTTTTTAGAGTCATCATTTTTATTTAGAGGCTTACTGTAGCAGTAAGCAATGCTAGCTCTTGGTGGTGCCAAAACATAAAACATTGTTTATTAAGAATTCCACATGAATCACAATGTGTTGCCCAAACCACAGGATGAATAGTGATACACTATACTGACACTCAGGTCCATTCCCATCATTCCATCTTTGTCCCTGCAGGCATCTGAATATGCCATAGGAGGTCAGAAGCCTCTGATGAGAGCTGTCACAACTGTAAAACCAGTTTGGTGAAAATTAGGAAATGTGAAATTGCACTATACATTAAAAAATCCAGTTGCCTTCTGGAGTGGCAGGATTCTCCAACCCCTGCTGAGCTGAGAACTCAGCAAAAGCAGAGAGCCAGCTGCAGTGGGGTCTCTCCTCAAAACCTTGCCTTTGATTGAAGGCAAAGGATTCACAGCAGCTCTGAAGTGAGCAAGAGCCTCTGCCACACAAAGATCAGCTTCCAAATCACATTACAGTCACAATTTAGTGAAAATTGTCCATATTTAGAAGACAGGCTACAATTCTCTGAGTGGTAGTTACTTTTCAGTGAAGCTTCTCTCAAGCTAAAACTGATACCAGTTTGTTGATTTTACCTCTTCCATTCCAGGTACTGGTGGCAGATGAGAGTCAGTTTCTTCAAATCACATTAACTTTGAGACTTGTTTCAGAGAATGGTTCTGGAGTTTTGTCTCCAAAAAAACAGAAAAGGGTCATTAGTAGTATTAAAAACAGGAATTTAAATAGTTATTTGGTAAATTCTGCATATCAGTGCCTTCACTGCAATTTCCTTCAAAATTTTAGTAAGGAGAGTTACTTCATTAGAAGCTTGATATTTATGTCAGTTTAAAACTTTTTTTCTGTTTATTAATTATCCACATTTAGAGTAATCCTAATATATTTGCAGTTATCATGCTCTGTCTGCATGTAGGCCAAGTTTTTGCCTTCACACCCTCTCCTCCCCCCCTTCTCTTTATAAGAAATTAAAAATTAATGTAGTGGAACTGTTTATATATGTGAAGCAAGCAGAATTTAATCTTTATCTTCTGATCCTATATTCAAATCTCTTAAGAGTGCATGATGTGTTTAGCAGTCCCTTTATAGCTTGCTTGAGTCATACCTTTCTAGGTAAAATTCTCTTCCAAAGCTTAATTTCTTCACCTATGAAGTGATGCCATATTTTTACTATTTCCTCTGTCAATGTTAGTGCTATTAAAAGCCTCCAAGACTTGTTCAGTACTTAAGTCCTTTACTACATTTAGTCTTGCATAGCTTTCTATAAGTCAGATCTTCATACAGTGTCCTTCGGCAGGTTTTTTTGGGGAGAAATTGAAAAAAACCTGCAATCCTCAGCCTGTCAGGTCTGTAGAGTTTATAGGATCAGTGATGTAGAAGCTTAGCTAGCATATTTTCTGTGAAAGCATCTCTGAGTACTTACCCTTGGAAAAAAGTGTTTTTCTGATCTGTGTATACTTTTTACTTAGGTAAAATTATAACATATATATAAAGATACGTGTGCCTGTATAGAAGATATCTCCTTGAGCAGAATTGTGTCACTGCAGAAAGCACTTATATGCACATGGCTACTTACAAGAAAAACAGTTTTCTTTGCTATGAGACAAATTGGGGAATTATGTGGGAGACTAGCAAATAATTTCTAACAGGTAGTAAAGTCACAAGGCCTGACATAACTCATTTGACACACTACAGATAGAAAAGAAAAAAAGTCTCCACCTGGTAATTCAGCCTTCTTCAGCTAGCCAAGAAAGTCTTCCTTTCTGCATTTACTTTTACACCTCACATCCAGATAATGAGATAGGATGTACCTTGTATTAGCTGGAGAAAGTCAGCAACAGATATACCATACCACAGCTAATTTCTGATGTTTTCTGGAGCTGAGTTTATTTACAGGGCCAGTAAAGCAATATGTTCCACACTAGACAGAAAGGAACACAAGCTGTACATACATTTGTCATGAAGCGTAGTGGGTTTTGTTCACCAGGAAGTGGTCAGTGACTCCAGTTCGCTCTATGGCAGCCCAACTGGTCTCTCCAAACAAGTTATTTAGAAAAATATAGTTATTTTAAGCAAATCCACTTGCAGTCTATTTTTCATTCCTAAATTTAAGGATGTATACCAATGTCCCCCAGGGACAATGGGATCATTAAAAAACCAAAAGCTGAGAAAACCCACAGAGGTTGGGAGAACACCAAAGAGTAACATTTCCAGAAAAAACAACAACTTAGTGGCAAGAATTAATGGTCAGAAGACAGACAAAAATAAGATAAATATATTTTTTCAATAGAGGATAGAAGAGGGAGAAGAACCAGCAGCAGGGGAAAATTAGGAACACTGAAAAAATTAATAGGAAAAACTTTCACTCTTTGTGCAAACACTTCATTTGACACACACCACTTAAAGTCAGTGGAAGGGCATTACGTAGTGATAAATGACCAGGGCCATAACAACTGCAAAAACAGTTCCAGGAAAAAAAAAATCTCACACTAGGATATGGTTAAAACTGGAAAAGGTCCATAATTCTTACCCATTATCTGTCCTGTCTTTTATGGGTACTTAGTCCTTCTAGACAAAGATCGAGGTGGATTGGGTGGGGATTTCTAAGCTTGCCAGAATCTCTAAAGGAGGAGAGTCCAAGATAGAGTATTTCTCCTACTTTACTGACACTTAGTGTCTCCACTATTCCACTATTGTTTTTTTTCTTAGAAAAAAAACATACAATCAGATCCAAGGATAAGAACTCTTTAAGGATACCTTTTCTCTTTGAAACTTGTTTTGCTGTATGGAGTGCAAGTGCTAAAAGGACAGATGGCATTCTTATTGCAGCAGATGGAACATCTCTTCTGTGAATGTCATTGTGGCCCAGGTGAAGTGAAACCCCAGCTGTATTAATGCAATTCTTTTCAGGTGGCAATGTGCTGCATCACTGACAAACCTGAGGATGGGGAAAATAGATGCAAATTTAATTGCATGATTTATCCAGGTGAACAACTAAGAGTCAAGGGATTTCATTTTAGCACCTGTTTTGGGCCCAAATTTTTTAGTTTTACCTTCCCTGTGCCTCAGTTTTCTTATGCAGTCGCGAAATAGTATTACTTCTGTGTAAAACAATTTATTTCAACATCTTGAATTCTTGAGATAGAAAACAGAGTAACCATGAGTTACTTAGAATACTAAGATCAAAAACATAAGAATTAAATGATTAGAGAGTTAATAGCAAGGAATTGCTATTCAGAGAACACAATTATGTGAGCTGATTACTTAAACTTATTAATTTACTGCTTTATTCCTCCCCATGCCTTTGCTTTTCTTCAGTCAAGTAGGAATACATGGAAGAGCTTCAATTTCTTTTCTGCTTCCTAAGATAGCCTTCATTCAATGAGAAACATAACCGACTCCTTTACTCAAGAGATACCCTTAGGCCCTTGGTCACATATCCTAAGCTCTCCACTCCTGTTGTAGGTTGTCTGTAATAATTATGTTGGAAGGACCTTCTTAGTTGAAAAAAGATTTATTTTTTAACATAAAACATCTTTTATCCTCTTCATAACACTACGCTTTTGGTTTTAGTTTTCCTAGCCAGCTTTCTTACCTTGAAGCTATGGTCTAATGAGTACCAGTGGTTTCTTGCCACTTCTTTCACTAATCTGAAATGGCCACAGTACCATGACAGTTAGAGGTGAAGGAGGCATAAAATGTAATAATCCGTTCATTGGAAGGAGACACCCTGACTCATTTTATACCTTTTTCTCAATTCAGCTGGCTAATAAAAGGATATTACACTATAGCAAGCAATTTAGACTGGAAATACTGTGCAATTTCTGAAGTAAACAACAGCACCTTAATGGTAAATGAAATTTAGCAGATCCTGTACTAGCTCTAGGGACTCCATTAGCAATTACTATATATAGCTTCTAGTAAACTCACCAGGTCAAGCAGCTTGACTTTAAGTGTCACAAGCAGGCAATGGTGTCTTCTCACTAAAAGTAAGAACTAAATACACCCTGTGTGGCAGGACAAAGCTTTTATACCTTCAAGGCACAGCCTCATTGGCTCTTCTGCCTCTGTTTTTCAGGTGTAACAGTTGACAGGGAATGCTTAAAGGGGCCCTGTATCTTCAGGGCAGGGACAAAATAGCTCATTCAAAATTAGACAGATTGTTCCACATTATTGATTATGTCTGAGAGTTTTGAAAGTCTTAACCCATGACTTGAGCCTCAGAGAATATTTTTGGTTATGGTTGCATTTGCAAGTAGGTTTGATAATTATTATTGCTTGAGGCATTGCCTTCATGAGTATTGTAGTGCTCTTGGCAGTCCCAGCTCATCATTAGCTTAAGTCTCCAGGTCACTTAGAAAAATCCTAGCTTGAATTTAGATATCTTCAAAGAGGTCAAAAGGATTTGTAAACATAAGGTAAGAAAGATTAAGACTTTTCAATGCATTTTGTAGAAATGCCAAGAAGCAAACAAAGAAATCAAATTAGCCAAGCACTATCAAATATTTTTGGGTGATCTTGGAAATTATTAATGGGGTGAAGGGTTCTAAGTAAAATTCTGTTTAAACTCCAGGGCTATTATTTATCTAGCATTCTCTAACAAGTGATTTTTATGAGTTTATGCTGTTTGTACAAGAGTTGCAGCTTTTCTTAATGTACATCCAGACTTCTAAATATTTCAGTTACAGAATGTTCTAAAAGAACCTTGTTATAGTTTGAATAGATGGAATTTTCAAGAAAACATCAAGGAAAAAAACATCAACAAGGCTTATGTTGATAGATCACCTTATATGGTTGCTTTTTACAAATATTTAGGTTTTTCACAAGCATGAGCAGAATCTCATACCGATTTTGTAGCCTTGCTGTACTACTTGCTCAGTAGAACCTAAACGTGAATGGATTTTTCTTTTTTTAAAAGATGTTTTAATCTTTTAGGAGGCCAACTTCAGACAATATTCAAAAAATTATCTCTGTGCTTATGCTTAGACGTGTTTCTAAGCATAGGCATTCATGCATCTGGTATCTGCTTGTGTAAGACAATATGCAGGGTAGGCTTTGTATGTATCTTGCAGATACCCTGCGAGTTTCTTTCCTAATATTTCCTACAGATCTTGATCTATAACTTCTTTCCTAAAATTGCTACTAACCATCTCCCCCAAAAATATAACAATAACATGCATTCAGAATTTATAGAAATATTAAATGGGAACACATCCATTAAATTTTACTGAGTTGCTCAAAGGTAATTGCTTAGGATTGAAATGGCTGAATGTTGCTGAATAAGACTGAAGGAAAAGATCTGGAGCAAATAAGTGAAACCCACGAGTCTGTCATAAAGGAAAGAAAACTTCACAAACATTGTCCTGTTAAGTATCTGTCATAACACTAATTAATGAACACACTATAGACACGTTCAGTATCACTTGAATAATTTATTTTTTTAAGTGGACAATTTAAATGTTGATGTTATTAACCATTTTGTTTTCAATTTCTTAGAGCCCTTGGCTGAGATTTCTTGCGCTAATCATAGTACATAGGGGGAACAAAAGTAGAAGGTTATTTTCCAGTGTGTCTGTGTGTCTCTGTCTCTGTGTACGTATGTGCTTTACAATTATCAAACATATATTTACACACCAACTTTACACTGAAGTCTTTCAGAAGTCTTTTCTATGGCAGGGGAAAGAATCAAGTGACCAAAGACTTAGGTCTATCTGATCCATTTGAGATTTTCCAGTACAGTCCCACAGAGGTTCTTATGCATTCAAACTTTTGCTGGAATGTTACTTCATCCAGTAGTGTTTCTTAATGAGATGAAACCTGGAGCTGAGGAATGCATCTCTTCAGTTTCCTTAACTTCACTAAACTGTAAATAATTTAAATTATTAAATCGAAATATCAAGACATTTAGTTATTGTTCATATCGCTCATCTTTAACCTTCTAATAATACATCACATTTTAAAAATAATTTAAAAACCGACAAAAAAAAGACTTTGGAGGCTATATACTACACCAATCTCCATGGCTCCTGCTTCTTGGGAAATCTGTTACAATATTAAAATTCCCAGAATGTATTTGGAGCAGGGGAACAGAATTGTCTGTTGGCAACTTTCACATTCAGCAATCCAGACACTACAACAATAATTTTTAAAATTGCCTTGTGATTTATTTATCTGTTTTAAAAAAGTAACACTAACCTACTTCTTAAATATAGTTTGGATTTTGTGAAACACCACAAGAGTTGGGAAAAAAAGATGTAAAAGAAGACTGTTTTGATGTATAAAACTCCTCACTAGTAGAAGAAACACTGACCTTAATTTGGCCTATTCATAGATTCATTTCATGTAGGTTTGCTGCATATTTGAAGCCTTAAAGAGCAGAAGGAGCTGCTAGTCAGTTTGGAAATCACAGAACGGTTGCGCACCAACAATTCCTTTAACAGGCAAGTTGTCCATGAGAAACACTAAAGTAAAGCAGAAGTGTGTACATAGTATATGCTGTGAGTCATGTGCATACCTGATGTGTGTGTATATACTGTTTCACTGTGGGTGCCAGTATTGTGAGTGCACGCCCATTTTCTACAAATCTGCGTAGTATTTTACTTAAACTCTCTGTTCTGTAGCTTCTGGTTTGAACTAGCTTTTCTCTCCAACACAACCATTCTGCTCCACACCCTGCAAACAAGTTCATCTGCCACTTCACATCAGTCAAATTTTAGGACAATTGGATGATGAATTATTTCTCACATAGAACATGATAACACTCCCACTGTAGGAAATGGAATGAAACAAATGGAATAAAAGTGCAGTGACTGTGGTGAAAAACATCTCCACAGAGTTAGGCCTCAATCTCTTTTTTTGTTTTGGTTTGGGTTTTTTTACTTGCCTTTTTTTTCCCAGAGGGGCCGGTGTGTGAGAGTGTGTGTGTGTGTGTGAGAGCGTGTGTGTTTTGGAGAGGAGGCTTTCACTCTCCAGAGCATACATTTGTGAAAAATAACGTAGGAGGTTAAGGGAGCTTAAGAGGAACTGTGTACATACATCAGATTTCCCCTTTTTGCTCCTTGGGCTACTAAGCATTGCCCCATTCTTTTCCACTAGAAGTGGAAGTAGTTAGCCCCTTTTTTATCACTTCAGGAAAACAAATTAAGCCCAAGGATTCTTAGCAGAGGCCAATATATTTGAGATTGTTCTGAATGATGACATCTGTCACTGCATCAAAGACAAATTGTATGTTACTGGTATCAGTGGCACAGGTGAAGTGGGAGTAGATCTCCTTGGTCTCCTTGTTGCGATTCAAGTCCTCAAATTGGCGTTGGATGTAGACTGCTGCCTCCTCGTACGTGTTTTGGCCTTTATATTCAGGAAAGCAGACTGTTAAGGGGATGCGTCTGATTTTTTCTGCCAGCAGATCTTTCTTATTCAAAAAAAGGATGAGGGAAGTGTTGATAAACCAATTGTTGTTGCAGATGGAATCAAAGAGACGCAAGCTTTCTGCCATTCGACTCTGCGGGAGAGGGGAAAAAAAAAGTGTCAACAATAGTGTTTCAGTATGACTGAAAGGCACACAAAATACATTGTATGTTTATCAATGAGCAAAATCTGCTTTAGAAACAACTTTCGTTTTATTTGGTGACTGTCTGTCTTACCTGGCTGTGAAATTTCAGAGATCTTAATTCACTTCTTTTGATACAATACATTTCGCCACAGACTCGCCCTTCCTTTATTTTTTAAGATATTTGGCAACTGTGGAGGAAAGTCTTAAACTGAAGATTTAGAAACAATAGGTATAACTTTGAAAAACATGGTCATGTTCAAACTCAGGTTGGCACTATAAACAGATTCTTTAAATAGAAGGGCTGAGCAGAGAGACACATTAGAAATCAATGGCCGGCTGGAATGTTCCTGCTGCGCGAGTGGCGGTACGGCCGGAGCTGTCCGTGGTACCGGGCGCCTGGGAGGCTGACTGACACCTATACATGGATGTCAGCGCTTGTAATGGTTTGAACAGAAAATATTCTAGGTTATTAAAATAAATATCACTAAAGTATTGCCAGAAGTAGATAATGAAAATATCGTAATCAGGCATTCTTGATAAGGTCAGTGTTTTCATTGTGTTACAACTTAGATCTTAATTCTTGTTAGGCTTCATTTGCACATCAGGGATATCACTATCCAACTAACTTTGGTCAGATGCTTGTCTATCATTAATTCTTTTTAAGGTGTGCACTCATATTTTCTATTTAAATGAAAATGTCTTTCAACCAAGTCATCCTATTCCTGTTTAGAGAATGTTGATGAGCGTGGCATCTTACAATTAAGCAACAAGGTTTCATTCCAGTCTTTTTCAGTACTCAGCAATAATGTTAATTAAAAAAACCTATAATTCTTAAATAAGTGGACCTTTATTCTGTCCCAGCTCAGCTATGTTCGTGTACAGCCAAAAACAGGAAAGGGATGTATTAGAAAAAAGCACTAATAAAAGTGTAGAAACAAATATTTACAAAACAAGGCACATTATAAAATTGGAAATTATATATATTCTGAAGATTTCATAGGCTTTAAGAGAGAGGTAGCATGCTGAGAATTGGAATTATTGCAGTGATTTCTGTTTAAATCCTGTAATTATTTTTTTAAAAAAACAAATTTTATATAGAAGAGTCTTTTAGTTGTGTGCCAGTTATTCTGTTCTTGAAAAGTAACATCAACTAATTTTTCAACTTGGTGATAATGCTGTTTGCTCTTTTGATCCCTGTGGGCCAGATTTTTATCAGATTCCAAAGTCTGAGTTATGCTTTTCCATCGCTCCCATCTAAGCATCTTCAGAAAGCTTAAATTTATTTTTTTTTTTATTATTTTTGGGCATCTTTAAAATCTCAGAACACTGTAAAGCATATCTCCTTCTCGTAGGGCTGATCCCATGCATAGCTCTCAAAATACTTTCCAGTAGGTAAACCAATGTGACATTAATCACAACATTAAATTCAGTATTCGTACCCACATGTCCAGATGAATTGATTTTATATGGGAAATATTTCTGTAAAGCTTTTAACTCTTACCTCAATGACAGGCCTACAGTTAATACTTAGCCTACAGCTAAAATATTAGCTGTTGTTCCTACTCACTGGGGGGGGGGGGGGTATTGTTGCTTAGGCTTTATACTACTGAAAATATTGTTGTAAGGATATGTTGGTTTATTCCAGTTTTATTTTCAACATTCTTTCCCTGTGTTTTGAGGTAACACCAAGATTTATTGCACCCTGATCACAGGATGTAAAGAAAACTTGTGTAGTCAGCTCTGTAAAGTCTGCTTGCTAATAAACCATGGATAAAACATGAAGAAAACTTTCCATGTACGGCAATATAGATGATAACTTTCTTAAAAACAATAAACAAGCTAAGTATCTATGGAAATCTTTTGCATGTTAAGTTTCCATGAAGAGATGCATATATTCAGGTGATAATTCTTTCAACTGATCCCTACAAAAGCTGTACAAAAAACATTCAGATTGCAGATTGTGAAGTCTGGAGATCTTTAATTCAATATCTTTATCCTTTTTTTCTCTTCCGACAAAGTGAATTTGCAATACTGTCCTGCTAAATTAAGAAACTAAATCCCATTCTGTTTAGAGTATCTGTTACTTTCAGAATTCTCAGATCATGAGACTGCATAAGATTTAATAAAATTTCTTCAGCTTAGTCCATCTAGCAAATTGAATTAAATTAGGCATTACTGATCAGGAAAGGGAATGATGGAAGGGAAAGGTATTGTGAATGATGGGCATCATTCACGTAGGTATATATCAGGATGCAGTTCCAAATCTTCCCAGTATTTCCCATAAAGATTGCCCTGCAAGTATTGCACTCCTTTCTATATACAATATCTTAGGTTTCTAAAAACCTTACACATAAATCATGAGTCAGCACAGTGGTCCAGGGTAAGTGAACAGAAGGGATTTGGGATATCAGAAAAGAGAGTATACTTTATTTACAAGATTATTTGCAAAATATGCATGTGTTCCATTTTCTGTCTTGTGTTCAGAGGGGATGAAAGTAATCTAGAGTCTGGGTATTTCTGTTATTAACTGAGGTATTCTGCCCAGTTTTCCTGTTTGGGAAGTCGAGGTGAGAGGATGACTTTTGTTTTTAACAGAGGTAACAGTATTTTGGGCAAATTCTCCTGAAATGTGTCTACTTGTGTCTAGTGCATCTCCCTCGACTTCACTAAAATCATGCCAAAGTGACTCGATATTTCAACTGATGAGATGAAGAAAGAATATTCACTGTTAATTATGTTAAAAGTAATATGAAAACATAATTTATTTAAAATTTAGGTCTTGTTTGGTTTTATTAGAGAATGAAAATATGTTGTATTTTTATTGCGTCAAAGGAAATCTGCAACAGATTGTTACACTAAAACAGTATCTTGAAAAAATAACCCTTTGAAAATGCATAGTTGCTGAAATACGAGCAGACTGTTTTACCTAAGCTTTTCAAATTACCTCCTATACTTTCCTCATTTTATTTGTGTTACTACTCCTTTTCGTTTGCTATGGATTCACTTGGTCAGCCCTCTGATTTTTCGAGTTCCAGGAAGGCATTAATTTGACTGATAGTTATTTTAGTGAGTAATTCTGCATTTACACTGCTTGCAGATTAAAACCACAGACTTTGGCAGTTTCTGGTAATTTCAAAAGCCTCAGGAGCACAGGGGCACCACGTGCTGGTTGGCACTGGCACAGCAGCAGCATAGAGCCATGTTGAAATTTAACTCACAAGCTTCTTAAGGCATATTGAAATATAAACAAAGTTATACAGGCCCTATATTTGGGGTTTATGTTCACTTCCTCCTTTATAAAGGAAAACATATATATGAATAATATATATGAATATATAATATGAAATATATACTCATCTGGCACTTGAGCCTATTTACATAGAGACAGATTTATAGATGTAAAAACACAGCTTTAAGAAAAATCTGAGGGAGGTTTTTTTTTTCATTTTTACAATGCAAATCCAGACACAACAGATCCCCTAAAAACACTGTAGGTCTGTTTCACGCTTTTTTTTCCTTCCCTGAATTTGTAGCTGTTAATAAAACCATACAAGAAATTTTTAGCTCAGTTGAAATGCTTTTGCTACTAATTGTCTGGAAAAAAAAAATGTTTTAGAGCTAATATAGGGTTTTGGCCAACTCTCAGAACGTTCATGCCAACAGGATATTGCATTTTAAGAGGTTTGTGTTTATTACTGTATTTTGTAGTGAATCATAATACTGTCCTGCTACTACCAAATCTACAGTTGGCATCTGTAGTCCAAGGACAAAATCAGACAGTTAAACCCTTCCATAAACTGTGAAATGTAATGAATGCATACAAGAGGACTGACAGTTTTTAATTACTGTAAATTTGGTGATTTCTCACATGATGTAAAGTAAGAATTAGTAAGCTGTTGTACCTCACATCCAAATGTCTTCTTCATTGTAATATTATTCTATTAGCTGAATATCTGAAAGTCATAAAACCCTTAATTAAAGTAAATAGAATTTCTTTAGTTAAAATGCAAATAAGTTAATTGGGAATAATTTCCAACAAAGATGCAGGCTATATTACACCAGTACAAGACTATGGTTGGATGGTGCACCTTGGGAAATTAACCCCCAAAATCCATTTTATGATTTAACTATAATAGGAAAAGTAGGACAATGTGTCACTGAATGAGGAAATGTATCAGCAAAGAAAAAACAAGTCTTCAAATAACTTTAAGATCTCACCCACATAATTATGAAAACTTTAAGGAAAGAGAAACAAGCAACACCTACTTCCATATGAAGAACAGACAACTGATTGAAGTTATTCTGATTTTTTGTTTTTTACCTATTAACATGGAGACCTGAAACACATAGTGTTCAATCTCACTTTCTGCATGGAATTATGTGACAAACAAGTAAATCCAACCCTGAGGGAATAATAGTACACATGGCAGGACAAAGCCTTTTTAAACTTTAAGTGCTGGCTTGTGACTTGTCCTGTGCAAAAGTCACATTTGAAACAGTGATGCATGAGATACTTCTCAATTTTTTTAGCTATATATGTCTTGATATATCTGAAAATCTTAAATAAGAAGCGCTATGTCCACAGTTCTGAGATGAAGTCTGACACTGAAACTGAGCCTAAAGACACGTGATGTATCCACTCATACATACACTCCTAACCTAGCCTAACAGGCTTGTTTCTGGTTCCATCAGGGTTGTAGAATTCCTGTATGTATTACAGGGAAAGTAAACTTAAGAGGGTTATGATTTATTATTATAAAAAAATAGAACTATTGTACAGCTTCCAACGGAGTTATAAAGATTTTCTATTAACATTGAGAAAAAAAATGACAGTAGGAAAAAGCATTCTTCTCTGCAGTGTCTTTTCCAGTTCAGGAGTCCTGAGGGGAGTAGTTAGCCAGGTGGTTAGAAAAAATGTGCTGCTGTAATTTCATAAATACACACAAGCT